GCTTGATTCCGAGGAGGTGAAAGAAAAAAGAAACGAAAAATTCCTTCGATCGAGAGAGCGAAGTTCCGGCGAGATTTGGTTTCTCGCCGGCCGCTCACCGCTGCGTTTTGGAAAGAGATAGAAAGGGAGAGACAGAGAAGGTGTTGTGTCGTGTTGTTGTTAGTTGGCTTTGAATAAATGGGGAAAAAAAACCCAACAATTATTAAAGAAAAAACAGAAAATAAAATAAAATCCTTAAAACGCGACCGCTTTAATTGGTGGCTATAACGGCGTTACGGTTGGGTTTGGGTAATAGACCGGAGCCGATGCTTTAAGATGACGGGAAATGAGTTGTGTTTAGTGTATTTATATTTTAGGCTTAATTAGAAAATAAGGCTTAAATTATATATTTTTTAAAAAATAATATATAATTTTTTTATTCATCCAGATACCTAATATTATAAACGTTACTATTTTAGATGCACGACCATAATAATCATTAGAAAACTCTGTTAAGTGACATGTGTCATGTTTTCAAATTAACAACAATCATCACCAACTATTTATTATATTTCAAATTCATCTTTTTCTGTTAAAAACTAACAATAATTTGAACTAGATGTTAATCTGTTGTCTCAAATTACTATCATATCTCAGATAACAAATTAACATTCAGCTCAAAATTTTCATTATTTTTTAATAAAAAAATGATTATTTTGGAACATAATAATAGTTAAATGACCATTTTATAACTTTTAATAATCAAGATACTCAATAAAATAACATCATATAGTTAAGGGATCATTTTGTAAAGTATTTGTATATTTTACCCAAGAAAAAAAAGGAAAACTCACCCTCTTCTCAAATATTCTACGTGGCATTCAGCTATTCGCTTCTCCGTCAGAGCAGCAAATATTATGTTATTTTCATCACAGAAAATAAATGAAAAATGATTTTCTTTATTTTTTTCCATATTTAATTTGTTTTTTTATTGGGATTGTGAAATTATCAACCAATCATAATTCCCAAAATCATTGTGTAGGACCCAGGGTTCAGGTCGGGTTTAATATATATTCTTTATTTTATATACATTGCAAATTCTTAAGAAATGTCATCGGTAATACCGGCTAAACTCTCGAGATAACGTTCTCGAATAAATTAATTCACGAGATAATGCACTCCTCAGATTAATTGTTCAAATAGGGTGAAATCTACAGTGTTGGTCGTAGGTCGCCATGCCATCCGGGCGGCCTACTAGGTCGCCATGTCTTCCCGGCGAGCTATGAGAGAGATTGCATGTGTCATGCACGTTCCAACACGTTGGGCATCCGAAGGCATCCGACCGAGGGCATCCGACCGAGGCCATTCGAGCGAGCTATGCGAGGGCATCCGAGGGCAAGAGGAATCACGCGAGGAGCAGGAGGAGTGCATGGCGACCTACAAGGTCGCCAGGAGTGCATGGCGACCTACAAGGTCGCCCGGAGTGCATGGCGACCTATGCTGGGAAGCTGCCACGCCGTAGGTCGCCCGGAAGGCATGGCGACCTACGGCCAACACTGTGCAATTCACCCTATTTGAGCCATTAATCTTGAGAGTACGTTATATCGTTAAATAAAAAATTCGAGAACATTATCTCGAAAATTTTACCGGTAATACCTCCAACTTTAATTTTTGTATTTTTAATGCGAGAATTTAGGTTATCGTTACAAAATAATTTTTAAACTTATAAAATTTTATTATTATTTTATAACGACTGATCATCATTTTATAATAATTTAATACATTTAATAATTATTTTATAACATCTAAAACTTTAATAATTAAAAAGTTCATTTCAATATAATTTAACCACCATTCATATGCTTTCTATACCTTTTTTTAATAAAACTAGTTTTGGGTGATTTGATTTGATTTTGATATCTTTCCAACATATTTTAAATTATTTTTCTTCCTTTTTAAAAGCATCAATTATTCATTTATTCTTCAATGATATTACTAATTATTATTAACGAATCTACATGTAATATCACAGGGCCTTGGAAATTCCGGTGGGGTTTAATATATTGATTAGCAATGACAATTCTGAAATTAATATATTGATTAGTAATGATAAATATGAAAATAATGACATTTTAATTCGCTTTGGCATTCTTTTGTTTGTATTTAACGCCTGAAGTCATTAAAATCTTGAATCCATGATGTTAGATTATGATATTAAATAAATTAGGTTTTATCGTATTTACTTTAGGAGTAAAATAAAATTATTTTATATAAATTGATAAATGCAAAAACTATATAAATTGGGATTGAGCATATAATTATATACGTAAATTTTAATTTTAGTTTAGTTGTGTACATAACACTTTGATTTTGATTCTGATTCAATTATATACATTTTAAATTAAATACACATATTTATTTTCATATGGAATAAATGTGCTTATTTTCTAGTATAAAATAAAAGGGATCTAAGGTAAAAAGAGGAGAAAATGGAAGGAAGGAAAAGGTAAGAGAAAGTTTGTGAGTGGTGACGGTTAAAGATTAAAAGGAAAGGCAGTTGACGTGGCTGTGTATTTGTTTTTTTTATACTCTTTAAAATAAAACCGGTTTTATGATTTATTCATTAATTTTTTAATTCAAGTAAATTAGGTTTGGACAAGAGGAACATAGACATGATCAAATAAGTATAATATGACTAATCAAAATTATGTTATTAATATATGTTACTCATCACACTAATAATATGTATATAAATGTTATGAACTTAATTTATAAATTTTTATATTATATAATATTAGTATATTTCTAAAATTTTAGAAGGATACAAATTTATAAAAATTTAAAGATAAATATAAATTATTAATAAAAATATAAAAAATTATATTAACAAATAAAAATATAAAAAATATAAAATAATTTTATAATATATGGCACCACGCATGTTGCTTCGTTACCAGTCCCCCATGCAGTAGCAGTAATTGCTGTTTTCCATGCCATGCAGAGAAATCACGTGAAACTGTTGGAATTAATGTTAAAAACGCCGAGAAATCTCCTTGTCTTCTCTACCATATTTTACTTGAAGACGCCGAATAATTCATGAGCATTTTGCATGTAACCCGTTGGCCTGAATACGCCAAGTAATCTCGGGATCTTTAGACGTGTACTGTAAAAAAAACCTAGATGAAAAAATAATGTTGGAATGTTATTGTGAAAAAAATTCCCACAATACATTATTGTGGCACTTTTTCCCATATCTTGCACGAATATATATATATATATATATATATATATATATATATATATATATATATATATATATATATATATATATATATATATATATATATATAATTTCTAACCATTTAGTTGATAATTGTTTGATTTTTTTTGTTTCCGATTATATTTTATTGTATGTATGATAATATTTTTTTTCTTGACTCATTCCCTAACATAGAATATTGTGATTATTTGTGCCTTTGAACTCTTGGACAAGTTTATTCCATTATTATTATTGGTTCGCGGTTCTACAAGTTTTGTTGGTTTCTTTGTACATTTGTATATGGTATTTCATTAGCTTTCGGATATATGTGTCGGATAGGATAATAATAAAGGAGGATTAGTTTTTTATTCGTGCACTTTGGAGACTCTTCATATTTTCCGTTTTTATGTCTGATGATCGAGAACGTAAAAACAATCCATCTCTATATGTCGTTGCCTCAATCATTCACGTTCTTGTTCATCATGTTGACACTAGTTACTCACCGTTATATTTTAATTATGACTATCTTGAATGTGTATCTGATATTATTTTACAAGATGCCTTCTATGGTTAATGTAATCTGCATGCCTATTTTTAAAAATAACTAAACTTTAATTTTAGTGAAATAAATATTTTTTAATATTTTTATATAAAAATTTATAATTTTATTAAAAATTAAAAAAATACCCCAATTACAATGAACATTTAATATCATAATAAAAAAAAGTTAAGCATATAATTAGGACAATTTTCTATAATCATTAAAAAATTAGCAAGTTAAGGTCACATAAAGACCATATAAGGAAAGATTAAAATCTAACCACGAAATTCGAACGAATATAAATACAAACAGATCTGATCGCATCAGTAAACGAACCACAAAAGATAATCAAGCTACTGAAAGACCATTGACAAACTGGAAATCAGACTCGAACGACGTGAAAAGCTATCCATAAACATATTATGAGTATCCAAATCCAATTTAAGGGTCCAAAGCAGGGAAGATGAAATTATTGAATATAAAAAATACAATAAGAATGGGCCGATGATTAGTTGTTCCCCATTCAAGAATTGATTTTGGGCTTACTGTATTCTTCAAGAACTAATATGGGCCAATAAAGGGTGTATAATTTTATTTAAATACAGAATTAAATATTTATTTATAATATAGTTTAATATACTTATTTAATCACTTTAAATTATTTTATATCAGTTCTCAAACTATTAATAAATCTATTAACGTATAATTAATTCTTAGAAATTGATCCCGTAATCTTTTAAAAATTCTCAAACCTTCAAAAACACGATATTAATTTTTAGAAATTCACAAGTTTAACTCCCGAAACTTTTTAAAAAATTTAAATTTTTTAAGTGACATATATAATTCTTAGGACCTTCAAAAATAAGTAGAGGTAATGAAATGTTAACAGAATGATCAAAATGGAATAATAGTGATAATTTGAGGATCGATATAGAATATTTTAAAGTTTAGGGATCAATTTATAAGAGTGTCAGAGTTTCGAGTACCACCTGTGAAGTTAAGTCATTAAATAATTAACATGGATTCATTTGAAGGAGGAGAGAGATAAGACCAGTCAAAATGGACAGACTTTTGCATGAGGAGTTGAACCAAAGATTTTTACTTGAAAAATTTAACGACCCCTTTCTTCTTTGATTCTCTCTCTCTCTCCACCTCATGGTGTTTATATAAAGCCATGGCATCTTTGTTTCTCCTCGTAGACCCACTTTCATCAGCTTTCATCTCAGTCTCTGTGCCTCTCCCATCACTTTCTCTCTTATGGCAGCTTTTTCATACCCTTTTCTTCTTGACTCCACTTACTTCCCCTCCAAACCTTCTTCCTTTACCATGGACGATGGAAACCGCTTCAACTCTGACTCACCACATCTCCTTTTCCGCCATGACCATGAGAGCAGCTGCGTTGTTTCTCAGAGTGATAACGAGGCATCGGTCGGTAAAAAACAAACCACCGGCGGTGGCGATTCCGCCGTGGTGGTGGGTAAGCTTAAAAACGGAGACCAAGTCAGCCTTGTCAGAAACAGGAAACGGAGGACCAGAAATGGGACTGCCTTGAATTCTGCTAAATCCAAGGTATATATGCATGGTGGTTTCAAAGTAAAAATCTGGAGCTTTTCTTATTTTCGTTTTCTTTATTTCGATCAGGATGCAAAAGGAGGGAAAAACAAGTGCAGTAATGGGATGGAAATCGAAAAGAAATCTCCTCAAGATCCTCCAACAGGTTTCATTCATGTAAGAGCAAGGAGGGGCCAAGCAACCGACAGTCACAGCCTAGCAGAAAGGGTACTAAAACCATAGTTAGTCACTTATTTTAAGCGTTCGAACCAACCCTGAGTCACTCCTTGGTTAAACGACCGAGTTAGCTCATCAGGCATTAAAGGCCTTTTAGTTATTATTATTATTATTATTGATGATTTCTGCAAATGGATTTGCAGGTAAGGAGAAAGAAGATCAGTGAGAGGATGAAGGTATTACAATGTCTGGTTCCAGGGTGTGAAAAGGTAGGCAGTTCAGTTCATTTGTCTTAACTGTGATATAAAACAAATTCAAACAAGCTTTCATGTCTGGTTTTCTGTATGAACATAGGTAACTGGAAAGGCACTTATGTTGGATGAAATTATCAACTATGTCCAGTCCTTGCAAAATCAAGTAGAGGTATTCAGTTACAAACCACTCTTTAACTGTTCTCTCTTCTTTCCTATAGTATAAGGTTCAAATAAGCAATATTTTTTAATTTTTGTTTTTGTTTTTTTAGTTTCTGTCAATGAAGCTTGCTTCTGTGAGTCCCATGTTCCATGACTTCGGACTAGACCTGGAAGCTTTAACGGTGAAACCAGAGGTAAAAAGGGAAAAAGAAGAAGCTAAAAGCCATTAATTTATTACAAAAGCTGGTGAAATCTTTGTCTCTGACATGTATAATATTTCTTTAGGGAGTGAACAGTGAAGTATCAACAACAGCAGTGCTGCCATGTATGAAAGAAAGCACCACTCAGGCTTCAGCTTTTGTTGATTCAACAACCGCCACCTTTGCCCCATCTGATAACTATCCTCTTCTGGATGTCTCACCCTCGCCTGCTCTTTTTCTTCACCAGGCCCAGGCCCAGGCCCCCATTGTCTTCTCTCACCATCAGGTCAGTATATAAATAAATACATACATAAATACGTACATACATACATATATACATACATACGTACGTACATTGTGCAGAAGTTGACAAGACATCTTTTTCAGGAGTTGGAGGACCAAAGACAGAAATTTCACAATTCTTCTGGGCTCAACGACAGCTTGTGTTCTTTCTATGAAGTATTTAATGCAGTGAGCTGCCCTACAAACATCTGGTATAGTGCTAGTAAGCTCCCATGTCCTGTCTTCCTTTTTTTTTAAAATATATTTATATCAAATTACCGTGTTAGATATAGCAAATGGTAATAAAATTCTTTGTTCCTGACTTTTGCCTTCTCTTGTGGGCGTTTATCTTTCCAGCAAGCTTGCAGAGAGGATGAATCAAAACAAGGCTTATCTTTTTTATAACTCAAGCAGCATGCCTGGAGGGCACCCTAACATCAATGGAAAAGATCACATCTTTTTGTAGATTCCTTCTTCTTCTTCTTCTCCATTTCATAATTCTCATGCACAAAATTACTTCACCCTACGTTGTTTAGCTTGGGGGGGGGGGGGAACGTTATCATGTAGTACAAATTATTGTAATATAAAATTCCACTTTATGAAAAGTCTCGTTCATATTGTTGCAGTAATAAAAAGTTTTAACACAAGTACGTTATTTTCACATTACTTCTATATATTTAAGCACGTATTTAATTATTACGTCAAAGTTTCATTAACTTTTAATTGAGTCGATATTCGATTAATTTCGTATTCGCATGTGATGCATGCAACGGGTGTGGAGCTGCAACGTGTTGGGGTGTTATATGCGTTCTTGTTGGCCGACAAAAGTCAACTTATGGAAATACGCGTTGTATACTTAAAAGTTTATTCTTATAGTATACTGTGTAAACTAAGGTTGAGGTTTTCCTTTTCTTTTAATGAGCTCATATTTTAGTATTTTGACCGCTACATTAGGATGAGTTCGATAAATTTACTGAATTTAATTTTAAGATATAAATTCCTTATTGATTTTACAATTCTAATTCAAGTTATCTGAATCGATATAGATTAATGAAATCATCTAAGTGTAAATCACCGTAATTTTTTTTTGTTCATGCATAGAGTGAAGACTAATTATCTTATAAGTCTAAATATTGAATTAACATCCTCACAAAGGGGAATCAAACAATATTTTATCAATTGAGTCGCCATGTGTAATAGTTCCCAGACTAGAGCGATCCAATCTCGTCACTACCATAATAATAGCACGCCGATAAAAAAAAATTATAGATGGGGATTCAAATTTTTAGTACTATTTTATATTTTTTCTTTTATTAATATATTATATTATATTTTGACTAATATAAAATAATAGGTATGTATTTGGCCCCATATGCATCTGCTCTTGGTCTTATCACGGGTTCGTCCAATGACAAGTGTAAAATGTGATCCGTCATAGGGTCACAAAATTTAGGGGCTATACATGAATGTCATTTACGCTTGTCCATTTATAATATTTGTGCTATAACGATATTTTCGTTCAGAGGAAAAATAAATTTTTCATTTGAATCTTGGGAAAATGGTAGAGAAAGTTGTAAATGAAGATTTTGATAATATTTTTAATCAGTATTCATGATGAATTTTGGTTAAAAAAACTCCCTCATAATTTCAAATTTGACAAATTATTTTTTATTATAAAATATTTAATGATCTCATTTTGAAAAGTAGCACATTGTAACGCCCCAAATCCCGAGTTAGTAGTTTCATGTTGACCCAAGGGCAATTTAGATGAATCCATTAACCTTATAGAGAAGCTTGGGCCAAGTGAACATTTATTTGGGTTTGTGTTTGGTCCAACATGTGTTAAAAAAGGGTATTTATAAGTGGTGACTAAAGTTAGGAGGACCAAGAAAGCAATTTACCCCTAAACTCTCCCAAGGATGAATTCTTTTAATAAAGGATGATGTCAACGTGGAAGAGCTTTGTCTTTTTTTCTTCCCTCTTTATTTTTTCCCTTCATCTTTCTCTCATAATTCTTTCCTCTTGTATTCTTCAAAGGTGATAACTTGATAGCATTACAACCCTAATTTGACAACTTAAAGGTAATAATCTTAATCTTCAACTTCAGAGCTTCAATTCAAGTCCTCAATCTCTTATTTTCATCATAGAATCCGAAATATGGGTTTAGTGGGGGTATAAAAACTTAAGTGAAATCAGCTTGTTTTTTAAAGATTCAAACCTTCAGAAACGTTTTAAACTCATTTTTAAGCTTCCCAACAACGTTAGTAATATTTATGCTTGATTCTTGTCTAGTGAGAGAAGTTGGAGAAAACTCTAAAGCTAGGGGAAAGAAGAAACTCATTCTTGGTTGAGCCTTGGGTGTTTCCAACAACCTATGATATCAAGGTAACTTACTTCTAACTCAACTCTACCACATGTAGGTTATTAGATGTGTTTTGGTAGGTTGTATGAGTTATGAAGCATGGTCATGGTAGAATTCAAAAATTAGTGTTTCTAGCATGTTTATGACTCTTTATGACCCCTATATTCATACATAACTCTTTAATAATGTTTGAGGACCTAAATAGGATGTTTAAGAGTATTGGGGAGGCATTTTCGTGCTCAAAACAAGGTATTTATGGGCACAAGTATCAGTACTAGAAGAACATTATCAATATTGTTCTTTAGGTGTTAAAAATAAAGGGTTTTGGGCATAGAAGTATCGATACTCATGCAATGGGTAACGATACTGTAGATGAGGTATTTATACTCACAGGGTGGTATAGATATGGAGTTCACATAGCAAAAAATCAGTAGTCAAATTCGTATTGATACTCATGAGAGTATTGATACTCCTCAATAGGAGTATCGATGCTTAGACATTTTTTAAAACATCAAAGCCAAATTTGATATCGGTACTCAGGAAAGTATCGATACCCCATACCAGAAGTATTGATACTCAAGAAGGAGTATCGATACTAGCCCTTTGCTATCAACATTTAACTTGTCAGTAGTATCGATAACTAGATGTGAGTATTGATACCCAGAGACCAATATCTATACTAAGAAGCTTATTATCGGTACCTAAGAACAATTTTGGATAAGATACCAAAAGGTTTAAGGGATAGAATTGAGGGACCCAATAACAACATAATATCATGAAATAAAACTACAAGTGAGAATAATAATACCTCATAACAACTAGGACGATATAAAACTAGTGTTACTTAACGCTCGGGACACAGTCAGTATAACTGAGTTACTTTAGCATATATGACCTTATAGTTGGATATCCCAGTTAGTACCAAGGTACTTCAGTCGCCAGCTGGGCGCAGCTGCCCCAAGACTCGATAGAGTAAGTTGGTCAGGTGTACGTTTCCAATGCTGCTCTAGATCTCACCCAAATACCCAATGACATTTTAGAAAAACTAGAGGAGTGTGTGAGCTCCGAGATGCAAAACCCTCAACCATATCATGATGGTTATATCAACATGTTAGATCGATATTTTCATGTCTTTATACCTATGCCTTTAGCATGCACATTTAGTGAATGCATGTAGTATACTACAATTATTAGTGAGGTACTGAACTCACAAGCTCAACGTTCAAAATGTGTTTCTGTGCGTAGTTTCTTAGGAGACTCGTCGAAGAGCATTATCGTCACCAGCAGTTCTAGCTCAGTAGAGACTTCAAAGCAAGTCTTGATTTTTATTAGAGGGCATGTACTATTATAGACCGTATTGTTATTCATTCGTAACTTTGTTTTGTATTAAACTCAATATTTTGTTATTTTAAATATTAGGAGCTCCCCCATATTAGTAAACTGAATTATTACGTTTTATTTATTTTTGATGGATTTCTTTTAAATGGTGTATTATAATTTATTTAAAAAGAAAATTTTAGGTTAGCCACTTTGGTGGTTCCGAGTGACATCATGATCCAATGATCTTTAGGTCAGATTTGATTAGGGTGTTACATTTAATGATATCAGAGCGTCAAGTTCAGTCTGTCTTAGGACCCGAGGGTTAGATTCAGTTAGCTTCTATAAATGTACATGCCTCTAAAGAGTTAAGAGTACTTTAAAGATTTTAATGAAGATAATAACCTCATTTTCTTTCTAATTTTAGAGAAAACCTCATGGAAAACAACCCAACTTTTAGTCAGGATGGTAGAGATAAGAGTTATGCCTCGTTAGCAACTGACACTATAAATGAGCTTGTCTCAGATACAGACCACCAGGAGGTACCCGTAGACATAGGGGTCGAGAATGTGATATTCTTTAAGGACCTCACTTTCACCTTTAGAAAGATTTTTAGGGTTATCCCTAGTACCCTAATTACACCACCTATCCCACCAGTATCTCTAGCCTAACCTGTAGTAGTGGCCCAAGAGTACCAGTCGAGAGGCTCCATAGATATAAAACTATTAAGTTCTTTGGTTAAGGGGATGACAATCCCATAGCAACATACCAGTGGCTTAAGAAGATTCTCCACACCCTCAAACAGATGTATCTTACCTTAGAGGGTAAGCTTGAATGTGTCACTGCCCTACTCAAGGGTGATGTCATCAAATGATGTGAGACGCTAAAGTTGACACTAGAGCTAGAAAAGCCAATTTGGGAGATGTTCTTATCAGGTTTCATATAGAAATACATCGGTGAGGCTTACACCGATGACTTGAGGGAGCAGATCCTACACTTAACTTAAGAGGATCGTACCATGATGGAGTATAAGATAGAGTTTCTCAGGGTGAGTAGATACACCCAAGTGTTAGTAAATACAAAAAAACACTGCTATCGTAGATTTAGGGAGGGCTTGTGCCTTGACATTCTTTCGTACCTTACAACTGACCCTCATAGGGTCTTTGCCAAATTATCGCAACAAGCGAAGGCGGTAGAGAGAGTCCTAAGTAAGAGGGCCCCACAGTCAACCAAGGTTATGAGACAATCTAGGAGGGTTACCAAGACAGCGAAGCCATCTCAAAATCTGACCAAAAAGGACAAAGATAGTAAGGTTTGTGGAGACCCCAACAGTATAGTCAAAGAGGACTAGATAGAGTTCGAATCGAAGGGGTAGATCCGAGTCTAGGATGAGACATCTAACCTTAGTCTCTGGAGTTAGTGTTAGTGACTTAGTGAGATTTTTTACTCATTTTGTTTATTCTTAGTATGAAAGAAGACATCTAGGGGCATGCCAACAGCGATCTAGGGGTTGCTTCAATTGCGGCTCCTTAGATCACTTTTTCCAAGATTGTTCAGGGACTTAGATAGTGGCTCCAGCGATGACTCAGAGGTTAATACCATCCATATAGAGAGGTCGAGGGTCGATAGGGGGCGATAGTACTACATCTGGATAGTAGAGTATAGGGATAGCCATGTCAGTAACTAATGTAGAGTCGAAAGTAGCCTCCAGACAGTACACAGTGAGAGCCCATGAGGAGTGTGATACAACCGATGTGATCTCAGGTAC